AGACCCCAGCTGGGGACACGGGGGGACTGGAGCTGTGGGTGGGTGCATCCCTCAGGACCCTCACAGGGGGGTTTAGGGGCTGTGCTGTGTGACCTGGACCCCCAGTGAGGAGGGGGTGAAGGGGAAGGGGGGGGTCCCGTGAGACCCCCACCCCTGACAGCCCCTCCCACCCCAGCCGGGCTCTCCATCCCCACCTCGGCCTCGTACTCCAAGAAAACGCAGGCGGCCAACGCGGAGAACAAACGGGGAGGAGGAGCAGGAGCGGGAGGAGGAGGAGGAGGATGGGGGATCGGGGAGTCAGCGACCAGGGGGAGACCCCCGAGGGGACACGGGGGGGATCGGGGAGTCAGCGACCAGGGTGAGACCCCCGGGGGGACACGGGGGGGATCAGGGGTCAGCGACCAGGGTGAGACATGGGGACACGGGGATACCCAGGGGGGATTGGGGGGTCAGTGACCAGGGTGGGACCCCAAAGGGGACATGGGGGGTCAGCGACCAGGGGGAGACCCCGAGGGGAGACCCCAAATGGGAACACGGGTGAGACCCCAAAGGGGGATGGGGGCAGACCCCAGCTGGGGACACGGGGGGACTGGAGCTGTGGGTGGGTGCATCCCCCAGGACCCTCACAGGGGGGTTTAGGGGCTGTGCTGTGTGACCTGGACCCCCAGTGAGGAGGGGGTGAAGGGGAAGGAGGGGGGTCCCGTGAGACCCCCACCCCTGACAGCCCCTCCCACCCCAGCCGGGCTCTCCATCCCCACCTCGGCCTCGTACTCCAAGAAAACGCAGGCGGCCAACGCGGAGAACAAACGGGGAGGAGGAGCAGGAGCGGGAGGAGGAGGAGGAGGAGGAGGAGGAGCAGGGGAGGAAGAGGGCGGGGGCGGGGGGCGCCGGGCCGGCAGCACGGCCAAGGTGCCCCCCAGCCCCCTGCCCGGCCTGGAGCGATCCAAGGGCACCCCCTCCCCCTCCACGGTCAGTGCAGGCTGGGGAGGGAGGGGAGACCCTGGATTTGGGGGAGGGGGGTCCCCAACACCTGGAACCCCTGGATGTGGGGGAGGGGAGTCCCCAACACCTGGAATCCTTGTATTTGGGGGAGGGGGGAGTCCCCAACACCTGGAACCCCTGGATTTGGGGGGGGGGGAGTCCCCAACACCTGGAACCCCTGGATTTGGGGGAGGGGGGAGTCCCCAACACCTGGAACCCCTGGATTTGGGGGAGGGGGGAGTCCCCAACACCTGGAACCCCTGGATTTGGGGGAGGGGGGTCTCCAACACCTGGAACCCCTGGATTTGGGGGAGGGGGGTCTCCAACACCTGGAACCCCTGGATTTGGGGGAGGGGGGTCTCCAACACCTGGAACCCCTGGATTTGGGGGAGGGGGGTCTCCAACACCTGGAACCCCTGGATTTGGGGGAGGGGGGTCTCCAACACCTGGAACCCCTGGATTTGGGGGAGGGGGGAGTCCCCAACACCTGGAACCCCTGGATTTGGGGGAGGGGGAGTCCCCAGCACCTGGAACCCCTGGATTTGGGGTCACACCTGCTGGGGGTGGGGATGGGGGGTGGCCGTCCCTGGGTCCCCCAGGCTGGGGTTGGGGTCACTCTGGGGCCGCTCTTGGTGCCCATGGAGGGTCCCCAGGTGCCGTGCCCGCTGTTTGGGGGTTTGGGGACAGCTGTGTCCCCCCCAGCCCCCCGTTTCGGTGTCCCCCCCCCACAGAACAGCGTGCTGTCCACGGGCACCACGCGCAGCCGCAACTCGCCGCTGCTGGACCGGGCCAGCCTGGGCCAGAGCTCCCTGCAGAACGGCAAGGACAGGTGGGGACCCCTGCCCCGCGCCCCCCGAGCCTGCTGCCCACAGGGGGGCACCCCTGAGCTTCCGTGGGAGGGGTCTGGGGGGGTCCCGAGGGTGCTGGGATGGAGATTGGGGGTGGGTGACCCCCACATTCCTGCACTCAGTGGGGGCTGGGGACCGCCTCAGCTTCCATGGGGGGATTTTGGGGGGGTCCCGAGGGTGCTGGGATGGAGATTGGGGGTGGGTGATCCCCCAGCCCCCCCATTCCTGTACTCCATGGGGGCTGGGGACCACCCCAGCTTCCCATGGGGGGTCCCTGGGTGCCAGGGGGGGCTCAGGGGTGTCCCTGGGGGCAGCAGTGTCCCCCCTTCAGGGGTGTCCCTGGGCACCAGGGGGGTCTCAGGGGTATCCCCCACCCCTGTGTCCCCCCTGACTCCGTGTCCCCCCTGTGTCCCAGGGGGGTCTCAGGGGTGTCCCCGGACACCAGGGGGGGTCTCAGGGGTGTCCCCCACCCCCGTGTCCCCCCTGACCCCGTGTCCCCCCGCAGCGGGGCGCCCCCCCGGGTGCCAGCAGCGTCCCCCTCTGCCCACAACGTCAGCCAGGGCCCTGGCGAGCGGCCGAGCTTCCCTCGGGGGGTCTCGAGCCGCAGCACCTTCCACGCCGGGCAGCTCCGCGCCCCCCGGGACCCCCGGGACCCCCTGCCCTACGCGCTGCCCCCCGGGCTGCCCCCGCCCGCCTCGCCCTCGGGCGCCAGCCAGGGCCGGCGCGGCCCCTCGGCCAGCCTCTTCAGCAAGTTCACCTCCAAGTTCGTGCGCAGGTGAGCCGCGGGGTCCCCGCGCCCCCCGTGCCCCCCGATGTGTCCCCCTGGTGTGTTCTGGGCTGTCGCTGTCCCTCGGTGTCCCCTCGCTGTGCCCTTTTGGTTTGTTCCTCTGTGTGTCCTGGCCTGTCCCCTCGGTGTCCCCTCGGTGTCCCCTCGGTGTCCCCTCGGTGCTCCGGGGATTCTCTGTGCCCTCTGTTTGTCCCCTGTGAGGGATCCTCGGTGTCCCCTTGTCCCCAGATGCCTTCTGCGTTTCTCTGTCCCCTCAGGGTGTCCCCTCGGTGTTCTCCAGGCTTCTCTGTTCTTCTCCTCCCTCTGTGTCCCCTCCTGTCCCTGCCACTGTCCCCTCAGGGACCCGCGTGTCCCTTCCTGTCCCCCCTGGCCTCCCACTGGTCCTCCTGGGGACCCCTCCTGTCCCTGAATGTCCCACTGGGGACCCCCCACATCCTCTCCTGTCCCACTGGGGACCCCCCGTGTCCACTCCTGTCCCTGAATGTCCCACTGGGGACACCCACGTCCCCTCCTCTCCCATTGGGGACCCCCCCTCATCCCCTCCTGTCCCTGAATGTCCCACTGGGGACCCCCCATGTCCCTGAATGTCCCACTGGGGACCCCCCATGTCCCTGAATGTCCCACTGGGGACCCCCCACGTCCCCTCCTGTCCCTCTGTCCCCACAGAGCTGGGGAGGGGGGGTGGAGGTGCTGCTTTTCCCCAGACCCCACTGACCCCACCCCCTCTCGGGGGGCTCTGGGGGTGGGTGGGGGGCTC